TAGTGCTTTATAATATTTTTAAAGAGGTAAAATAATTTAACCAAAGATATACTTTTCTTCTGGATATCAGTTTTAAGGTAGGTGGGTCGAAATTAAGCCACCTGGATATCTATTTATCTTGGGGGTGGAGAGAAAGTCACCACAACAGTATACAAATATATCATATTGCATACTTGTATGTTTCCAAAGAGCAAAAGTACTATTCTCCAGGTCTGGTAAACACAAGTCAAGTAGTATCAAAAGAGTAAGAAGGTGCATAGCAACTAAATAAAGGGTAAAATAAAGCAATGAAAATAGAGAAAAGAAAGCATAGTAGGTATAGACAGGGTATCCTTAATCTGAACATCTGAAATAAAAAGTGCTCCAAAATTTGAAACTTTTTGCACAGTGACATGACAACACAAGTGGAAAATTCCACACCTGACTTCATGTGAAGACACTCAGTGAAAACATTGCAATATAAAAACACTGCATAAAATTACCTCAAGGTAATGAATTCTGTTTAGACGTGGGCTCCATTCAGAAGATATATCTCTTTATGTATATTGCAAAAATTCCAAAATCTAAAAAGAGTCAAATCCAAAACACTTGTGGTCCCAAGCATTTCAGATAAGGGACACTCAGCCTATATTTTAGAGATTAGGTCATTCTTCCTAACTCAAAAAAAGGGTAAATTTTTCATCAAGTGTTAAGAGGGAAAAGAAACGTACCAAGCCAATTAAAATGACATGGCAGAAACAGGGATAAACATTTTAAAACAATATATGAAAGCAAATAAAAGAGAAAATGTAGTTCATAAGGGAAGGCTTTTCAGATTAAAAAAAATAGTTTCAGAATAAAAATGGTTAATTACTGCAAATATATTTTAACTGATATTTTCTTATCACAAAAGTATTTTTAAGCTAAAAATTCTATTGCAAGCATCCAAAAGAATGACTATTTGAAAGACAAAGAAAATATAACCAAGTTAAATTTTATAATAGAAGTCCTTTTTTAAAAAAGAATTATTTATTTAATATTATTTGTCCATTTATTTTAATTTGACCAGAGAGAGACACAGAAAGAGAGAGAGAGAGAGAGAGAGAGAGAGAAAGTGAGAAAGCAAGTTACCAGGTCCAGAACTAGAACCATGGTTGACCATGTGGGAGTGTCAAGCACCTTAACAACCATGCCGCCTGCTGGTCCCAATAGAAGTCTTCATATCTCAAAGCATCCAAATACTTTAGGCACTTAGAAATGAATTTAATTATCAACATCTGCATAGCCAGAAATTACATTTTGAGGGTTTTGTATGATGTAGAATATAAAAGAAAATAATCCCAGAGGAAAAAAAAATGCATATAAACAAATGAACAAATAAAAAATTGTCACTCAAAGTAATGTCAAATTTTAACACTGTAAAAAAAAGTCCTAGCTTCTTTTTTAAACTATATTTATTTATTTCTTCCATTAGTAGGAGAGATAGAGACAAGAGAGAACCTTCAGTAGGGTCCTCCTGCAGTACTCCATCCCAGCCTTGGATCAAAGGCATTCACACATGTGCTTGGTATGTTTAGGGAGATCTGACATAAACCTAGAACCTTCCTAGGAGGGTCAGTCTTCTCACAGAGTGCTGGATTTCTGCTGTGCCACCACCTCGCCCCCAATTTCTGCCTTAGAGAAGTTAAATATATAGTCTGCAAACTCCCAATAATCTCTCATAAACCATTCACCTAAACAAAACATTAACATGCTCGTTAATATTAACACCTTTTTTCTGTATGTACATCAGAAGAAAAAAATCTGATCACTGTTTGAATGAATTTTTAGAACTTATGATAAGCAGGCCTATAGTAGTACTGAAAATATAATGCATTTCATTATTTTTAATGTTGGAATTTTTCAAAAGGAGGAGAGGAAGTATTAGCTAACAGTACAGAAAAATAGATTACAGATAGATAAGAACCACAATGTTTCTTCAGAGTGAGTAGGTAGGTTCTGCTAAGGAGGAGTTGGATGCAATGGTTTAAATTATTTCTTTACCACCCTCACTTCCTATTCATCTATCTTGAAGTGTACTCTGTGAAAGAGAACTTGGGTCCAGTAGTTAACATAATGGCTATGTCACTGGACTCCCATGTAGTCCACCGCAGTTCGAGGCCTGGACCCGTTGGCTTGAAACTCATGCCAAGTGCATGTGCGTGCATGCCCAGGATCCCAAGAGGAGAATGGAGGAGAAGGGATTGAGGCGTGGCCATCCCCCCTGGGGGGTGATTTCTTGCTTTCTTGCCTTCTGTCTGTCTGTCTGTCTGTCTCTCTCTCTCTCTCTCTCTCTCTCTCTTTCTAGCGAGCGCATGCGCCCTATGGCAAAAATCTCTCAAAAAACAAGAGAACTTGTACTTACATGACCACAAGTGTCTACGCTGTTAACAAAACACATTGGTATCATAGCCTAAACTTATTCCAAACAACTGGACACACAGCAAGCTTAGAGCAACGGAGTACCAGTCTAGGCTTGTAAATTTTGAACCGTTGACCTAGAGAAACGTTGAAGTTGTAAGTTGTTCCTAGTTTATAAGCTTATTGGGGCTTACACTCACCAGAACTTTTGTTGAGTTCTTTTACTTGAACAAATAAGACTAGAGCCCAGCCTTGGTGGCACAAGCAGAAGCAAACTGGACTGCTGTGTGGATATTGCACATGGCTGATGACGGATCTGGATCTCCAGCGGGCCTGCAACACATCCAGGCCTTACTAAACAGTGCCCAAGATCCCGCTGAGCTGGAGGGCTGAAGGAAGGGGATCAGAGTATGACAAGACCCGTAAAGGGTGTCTTTTTGTCTGTCTGTCTCCCCTTGGTCTTTTTATGAGCATGTGCACATGCACTCTGCAATGAATGAAATAAACTTTGGGACTATCTCTGAGGTGCCGAGGTAACATCCTGCTCATGTGAAGCCAGATGCTGCATGAGAAATGGGGTTTGAATCCTTGGCCTAGTCAGGCTGAAACATGTGGGGCACACACTCAAGATCTGATGGACTGGAGGACTTGGGGGCAGGGAGAGGTGGGGTAGATTAGGGGGTGGATAGACCCTGTGGAGGGTGCTTATCCCTCTCTCTTGCTCTCCCTCTCACGCATGCGCACACTGATGAAATAAACTTAAAAAAAAATTCCAAAAATAATTAGAAAGACATTAATGTCTTTAAACATAATAAGGCCTTTCTGCTGTCCTTACATACATAGACAGACCCAGTTTTAACCAGGAAATAGCCAGAAAAACTCCATGAGCAAGTACCTACAGAAAAAAAAAAAAAAAAAAAAAAAGCTTTCTATAGTATAGGCTGACAAAATGCATAGTTTCTCAAAAACTCAAAATCATTATTACACACACGGAAGTCTTAACATAAAGCTCCATTTACTTTCCTAAATGGAATATGACCAGCTCACTTCCATCCAAAGTAGTTAACTAGTTTATTGTAATAAGTTGCTCATGTCTCTGGATCTATCTTTAATAATTTCATTGACTTATTTTATCAATGGCATTTCACTTTGAGGTCTAAAGGATCCCTTTTTGTGACCAAAAGGTAGTACATATTTGAAGGGGTAATATGGATTTTGTTCTTAAAGCAATGCAATCTTCTAAATGACATAACTTTTGACCTCGATCTCATATACAGGTTTTCATTCCATAGGCATCTGCTTGCAATCTAAACTGAAAGGATAAAAAAAACTTGTCCTAAACAAAGGAAAGATCTAATTTTGTGAGTGTCTATATCCTCAATGTAAAATTAATTATAAAACAGTAGTTACAAAATGTGCATATTGCCTGAAACCACAAGATAGAGAGATGTGGTCACAAAGATAATTTCTCCAGACACTATTTTTGAGACCAGTAGTTGGCCTAATGGCTACGTCGCTGGACTCCCATGTAGTTGACTGCAGTCAGAGGCTGACTTGTGGCTTAAACTCACGCCGGGTCCATGTGAGTGTGTGTCCAAGATCCAGAGAGAACGGAGAGGGGATTGCAGAATGGCCATCCCTCCGAGGGGTGATTTCTGGCTTTCTGTCTCTCTGTTTCTCTCTTTCTGGCGAGTACATGCGACCTATAGCAAAAACCTCTCCCTGCCCTGGCCCCCCAAAGAAAAACCCAAAAAACAAAAACACTCTATTTTCCTGAAATCCCACCATGATGGTCTCTCTCAAGTCAGTTCAAACATCTGCCCAATGTGAACTTCAAAACCTTTCAGATCATCACTTCCTACTATCAGAAGTTACTTCTACCTGTAATTAACATATGCTTTGCCTTCTAACTCAAAACTATACTTTCCCACTTCCTACCAGCAAAAGCACAGTACACCATTTATTTGCCTTCTATTGTTCAAAAGGGGCAATTTGTTAATGTCCTTTTTTTGCCTAATACCGACACAATTCAATCAACCCAAGAGGTCGTCCTATCTTTAAGAATCATAACAAATATGAACATTTACTTGAAATATTTTAAAACGTAAAAGGAACCCATGTTTGTTTTCTTTTCATAACGACATCTCAAGGTCTTTGAAAGGCAGACTAAGATACTTTGTAACCACCCACCCACCTGCTTTCACTGCGCTGCAATTATTCATTCAACAGATACCTGGCCTAGCCCACGCAATGTATTCACACAGCTCCGTGACTGTACATATAATCACCGAATGGCTGCCTTCTCCTCTACGTGCACACCCCTATCTGAAAATACACGTGTTCTTGCAGATTTCAGTCCCCCTCAGTAAACTGTCAACTCCATCCTAAAACACTTTTCCCCAAGCAAATGGGGGATGCTCTTCACCCGGAGCTGTCATCGCGGAGCCAGACGCGCATGCGCAGCGCAAGGGGCCCGCGCCCCGCGCGGCAGGTCGCTCTCGGTAAGAGCCTGCGGGCCAAGGTCGGGCCGAGCGGCTGTAAGGCTCGAGAGGAGCCCGCGCGGGTTTGAGGATGGCGCCCCCGAGGACAGTGTGGCGAGCGGGGCGGGCGCGCACACACACAATTTCCGCATCCACTCGCCCTCCATCACCAGCGTCCAGTTGGGGGCGGGCAT